CTTACTATATTCTTTAGTTTAAAACTTGATATCTATAAGATTGTTTATAAAAATGGGTTGTTTTTAAGAACAAAATGTTATATTATTATACATATCATAATAGAAATTATAATCACAAAATATGACATAGAGGAAAATACGAATTTATAATTGTCAAAGGAAACAAATGACTTAACAATAATTGGAAATGAGTTCGAGAAGAGTCAATATTTTTTCCTTTTTATTAATTGAATAACTGGAAGACTTTTTTTTCAATCAACACTTTAATGGAAACACGAAGAGCTAATTACTTCCTTGAAAGAAAGAGAAACTGATGACACGTACTCAAAAGCTCAGAGCTTTTGTTTCATGAGAATCAAGAAAATACGCAACAATGCATAACATGAAACAATCGGTCAATCGTACGATACATGAGAATATGTGTTTTAAAATGACGTAAAGTTTCAAAGTTAAACAAATCTTTACTCAAATAAATATAAAATAAATTAAAAAATATTATTGTCGCTAATACTTCAACATTCTTTGGACATATATGAGAATCAGGAGTTCGAACCAGTCTTCGGCAAAACATTTAGATATTAAGCTATCTATATCTTATGGGTATAATTTTCGAGAATGACATGGCTGTTGAACATATATTGGTCTTATAGCTATTAGCTATACTTTTAGATACTACCCGTTAGAAATATTTAGCATACACTAAGTCAAAAATATCGTTTAGTACTTATTACTAGATTTAATACAAAAAACGACCCAAGTTCACACTAACTAGTTTAGTTTACTGTTACGTAAGAACAGCTTTGATTCACTCAATATTAATGACATGATATAGAAATATAAAAATAAAGATATAAAAATCAGTACTTTCGTAAAAAAAACTATCTAAAGGCAGTCTTTGGGAAAGATATGACTTGAAAATAGAGCAGATGATAGTAAATAATCCTATCAATTCTATTCTAACTGTCAACTGTTTAGGTGATCTAAAATAGCTGCTTGGTAAGCAAAAATCAGGATTGGGTGTGGATGTAACCGAACAGAAAATCAGAATTCACTCACTCACATCACACCAATTTTTGAAAGATTAGACGCCGCACTTTCTTCCTATGTATTTAAGTCAACTTTTCATGTTTCTCAGGAGAATCGACTATTTTTGAGGAGGAGGGAGATTGAATAACATATAAAGATATAACGATAAAATTGGTTCTACTATATTTAAAATGTGTGTTATTTGTCATATTTTTCCAGTATATATGTAAAGCTGAATAGACGTAAAAAATATATGTTTTTGTAACATGTGAACTATTATTAAATATTGATTATACTCAGTTGACATCATTATTATGAAAGTGTTTAAGATGTAAAATATGTATAATGAAAAAGAATGAAAAAAAAAATAAATTTGATAAAATATTTTTAAAAATTTTACTAAGAAAGTATCCCTTAACAAAGGTATTAATTGAGTACAATACAGGTTCAATAGAAATTTAGATATTACATTTAAAAATATATCTTTTCAATCTGTTTGACTTTGCATATTCGAAATATAGGAAAACAAAATCAATATATGCTCGAGCCTTATGAAGCATACAATTGAAAATTGTTTATGATATCGTTTTACATGTATCTCCGATTTCAATGGAAGTACTAAAAACTCAAAGACAAACTCATATTCAGCTACTTGTTTTCGGTAGCTAATCTGCCATCTATAATAATTCTTAACTGACTATTATAAGAATAAAGATGCAATCAATGGCCAAAAAAATATGTCAAGTAATGTATAAATAATTAGAAATGAAAATACACCAAAAAAAAGAATCAGTTACTACGTAATATGAGTGAAATAGGAAAATATTTCAAGAAACGAGAAAATTAAGAGAAAATAATATGGAGATGAATAAAATCGAACTGAAGCGAAAATATACGTTTCAACCAGTAACTAATAAACGATTGGATCACTAAAAAATAATCATTTTTTCTTTCAAACTTGAAAGAGTTGATATACTGAAATACTCTAAAGAAATGAAGACTCATGAAAACTAAATGCAAAAAGTCACCTAAAATCGGACAAGAAAAGAAAACTCATAAACATGCGTTTTATTTTAATTTTACTGTCTTTATTATAAAATTTATATTTTTATTTGCTTCTCTAGAAGAGTAATGTTACCTTGACTATATTCTAACACTCTCTGAGAATTCATTGCAAGAAAATGGTTGTCAAACCCAGGGGTCGCAGCGGCCTACTATGCAAAATCAGGAATCAGGACAGGAATTCTAGAGATAAAAATCAGGATTTTTAGTCATAAATCAGGAAATGGAAGTCCAGTTATATTCATCCTATATATTGAACCTGTACATATTATTCCGCCAAAGAAAACACTTCTAACTAAATATTTTTGTGTAACTTTCTTTGTTTATTTACCATACCCAATCATGTAATAACACGGCGGATAAAAATTATCCCTTATCTTCCAGAACTTCGTGCTTGGAAACACTACGAAAAGGCACTTCTAGCAAAAATCGGCCTTTTGTGTTGTTGTCGTCCTTGGCTCTATAAAGCGACTATTCACTAATGAAACATCAAATAACCAGTGTTTTTCTAGTTACATAAGTCACTTATTTGAAGTATGTTCACTTGTTTCATTGTTTGTGTAAACAATGGCTTCTTCCAATGATGTGTTATCTATGGATTGATCATTGTCCGCGTTGTTCATTTGTTCTTTTCACTACGATTTATTATAACAAAGGACGCGACATTCAATGAACAAATGTGTTATCTATGTATTGATCATCGTCCGCGTTGTTCATTTGTTCTTTTCACTACGACTTACTATAACAAAGGACGCGACATTCAATGAACAATGATGTCCACGAGAGATAATAAATCATGGAATGATATATATTCGTGATGATCGTTTCATTTTCATCATTGTTTTTTTTTCACTGTTCTGTCTATCAACTCTCAAAGAGTAAGACAATTCTTTCTGCGTTTGATCATTACTATTTTCACACAATCAATGCCACATGATACTCATTTCTCGCCAAAGTGGCTGGAAAAACTTGATTCAACAGGAAAACCATGTTCACGTTGGCTGAAGGCTGGAAAGAACAAATTCACTTTCATATGTACTGTCTGTAATACTAACGAACTCAGCTGTCGCAATGCAGGCTGGGGTGACATCAAAAAACACTTCGAACGTCCCAAGCATCAACAATCTATGAAGGATGTTTTCGGATCGGCACAGCTAGTTATCTCATCTACCAACAGTACGGCTGCATCGTCTACAGATATTGTAACCAGCACTGCAACTGCTACGAGAACTTCAACGTCTCTTCTTACAATCAATAGCAAAAATGAGCGAGCATTGACTCATGAAGAAAGTAAGTTCTTCAAAATGATTATCTTTTTACCATACTCATCAGAAACAAATGAATTAGAGGTCAATATATATGAAAACTAAATGCATTTTTATGTTACAGAGGTACAACGTGCTGAATGCATTTGGGCAATGGCAACTGCTCGATTCGGACTGTCATACAACACATCGCAATTTTTACCTGAATTGATGCAATCGATGTTTCCTGATAGCAAGACAGCAGTCAACTTGTCCATGCGTTCGCGCAAGTTGTCCTACGTTATATCACATGGTACTGGCTATCATTTCACAATGGAATTGATCAAAAATGTACGCAAAGCCAAAGCTTTTTCATTATTATTCGACGAGTCTACAACGGCTGGCACACGTAAGCAGCTTGATATTCATTTTAGGTATTGGAGTGAAACGAAGAATACTATTTGTACTCGATACTATAAAAGTGTCTTTCTTGGACATGCTACAGCTGATATTGTTTCACGTGAAATTATCGACAACTTGAAAGCTGATGGAATTAATATCGCTCATCTATTAATGTTGGGTAAGTTTCTTGTGTTTAATTATATCTATTTCTCGAATTGAATTTGACTACTGTAGGACGGGACAACCCGAATGTGAACAAAACAATCGAAACCTTGATCGAGTAGGAGGTCATTGCTGAGCGAAAGAAACAGTAAGTTGAATCAAAGGAACCTCATCTTATTCGTTCAATTATTTCAATGTAATTTAGACAACCTATGGTACCATCATCAGGACTTTTGTCAATTGGTTCATGCCCCCTTCATATTCTGCACAATTCTTTTCGAAAAGGTATGACAAGCACACAATGGACAATCGACGTGTCGGCCAATGATATGTGGTTCTGGTTCTCCCGTTCAGCTGCACGTCGTGAAGATTTTGTTACAGTTGCCAATAGCATCGTCGAAGGTTATGCTCTTTTTCTTCATCGTTTCGTTTGTACTCGCTGGATTGAAATTGGTTTAGTGCTTGAACGTATCGTCAATCAATGGAATATTATCAACGAGTACTTTCTTATGTTTCTTCCGAAGACAGATAAAGCTCTTGATCGCAATGAATGATTTCAACGGATCAAAACGACGCTCGAAAACAAGTTAACAATGGTTCGCTTCCATTTCATACTTTATCTATATCGTACAATCTTCAAGAAGACTCTCGTTTGGTTTCAACAAGAACAACCACTTATTCATGTATTATTTAACGAATGTTGCAATATTCTACGAAACGTTCTTCTCTGTTTTGTTAAAGAAGAAGTGGTCGCTGGTAAACAAGGGTCACAATTATTGTCTATCTCTTATGAACTTCAAAATAATCAACGTATTGATAGTAAGACTGAAACTGGTGAATCAACAAGAAAATATCTGAGTGACTTATCATCGAATGAAAAAATAGCTTTTTACAAAGACGTTCGTGAAATTTATTGTACGATTACAGTAAGTAACTAATTATTAATATTTACTCTCATCAGCATAAATGTCATGTTGTTTGTAGAAGGAGCTGATTCGAACGTTACCTATCAACAATACCTTACTACGACATCTTCAATGTTTACATCCATTACTGCGAAAAGAGAGCGCATCTCGAACTAGCATTCTTTATATCGCACGTTTAATGCCATTCTTATTCAATGAGGAAGAAATCGATCGACTTGCTGTCGAATGGCGTGCTTATGAAATGGCGGATATTTTAGAAGAATGGATCGAAGACAAGACTGATAATGACAATCAAAGTGAATCGACTGTTTATCATCCAATCGACATATATTGGCGTCATATTTTCTCAATTAAAACATCAACTGGAACTTCACAGTTCGTCGTTCTTACCAAACTCGTTAAATGTCTCTTATCTCTCTCTCATGGCAATGCTGAAGTTGAGAGAGGCTTCAGCGAAAATCAACATCTCGTCTCTGATGAACGAACGTCTCTCAGCGAACAATCCATCAATGGTTTAAGAGCAACTTCAGCAGGTATCAAATTCTTTGCTGATGGAAAACCTCATCAAGTAAGATAAAACAGATAAATAAGTAGTTTTCTCACGTATTCTTGTTTTACAATTCCAGAATGGAAAACATTCTAGCATTATTTCTGATATTTTGAATGTTCTTGAAATGATCTTCATGTTTTAATGTTTTTTCCCTTTTTTTTGTAGGTTTCAATCACACCAAGTCTACTGGATAGCGTAAAAAATGCTTATTCTCGGTATCGAACTGATCAAGAGCGTCAACAACAACTTCAAAAAGAGAAGGAAATTGCTGATTATGCAGCTAAATCCGCGAAAAACAAAGACGAACTTTTGGTCGAAAAGGAACTCGATCTACTTGAAAAACAAAAACTGCTACAAGGTGAACTCAACAATGCAACACGTTTACTCGAAGAAGGTGATCAACGACTCAAGGCAGCAATCGATGCAAAGAACTTTTATGAAATTGAAACAGCTGGAATATTAATAGACAGCAGTAAGAAGAAACTTATGGCTATTAATACCGAAATTGTACAAAATAATGATGCACTTAATCAATTACGAAAGAAATTTAAAAAATAAAGTCAATAATTCAATTGTACATAGTAAATGAAATTTGTAACTTTTTTTTGTAATTTGAAATAAATACTTACAACTGACTTGAAAGGAAGGTAAATGGTCTATTAAGGAGCAAGAAGTCTTGCATTGATTATATTCAGCAATTCATTATATTCGTTGGATGCTACTTTTTAAAAAAATCAGGAAAATCAGGAAGATCAAGAGAAATCAGGACCTGTCAGGATGTTCTCAAAAAAATCAGGAAAAAATCAGGAAAGTAGTGTTGCTGCGACCCCTGGTCAAACCACATGATTAATGGAAAATAATGGCTCATCGAATGAGAAGAATGAAAATAAAATAAAGTATTCACAGCTTTGATACATAACGTATTTATTCATCTCTCTATGAATGAAATCAGCGAATGCAAAGAGATACAAAGATTTCTTCATCATAACTATATTATTCGGTTTTTTGAACTATTTGTTCAAAATCGTCATACAAGAATCTGGTCTAGAGTTCTCATTACAGAATACCAGAAATCAGATGTATACTTGCAAAAAAAAAATTCTTTTCCAAATTTTCTAAGATGCAGTCAGTAGATTTTCAAGAAAAAGCATTTCTCATCATCAGAAGACAAAACATTGATCCTGAATGGGATGTTTATACGATAATATCAGAATGTAGCAAAGATTAGATCGAATCTTATGCAGCAGAGAAGGTTGTAACATGAATTCAAACGGTTTCAACAATGCCTTCTAGTAATCTTTATAACAGAATCCTATTGAAATTCATCGTCACATCAGTCTAAGAACTTAGCAAGAAAGTAATATGTTTCAACAGAATCCCAAGCTTCTAAGTCTTGGTATGATATAATGAGGATTCTAGGAATCTGATTCATGCCTGCTCTTAGAAACTTCTCTGTAATGTTTCACGAACTTTTTTTGACGACTTTCAAGACTAAGCATTTCGAATTCGTGCATAAGTAATAATAATTCTAATAAGAATTGTGATTGAAAAACTTAGGGATTCATTTAAGATCTTCGAGGATGACTCTCTCGAGACGCATTCAGATAAATAAGAAAAATCAACTCATAAAAACACGTTGGAGTCATAACGAAAATAAGAGTGTGGGTGTGGAATGTGCATCTTCTAATACAAAAAATCTAATAAAATGTTACGAAAAACTAAATGACGATACTATATATTTCTGAGATTTTGTTTTAGTAATTAATTATTTTTTCCCTAAAATTAATAGAAATTTTATTTTTAAGCTAAATGAAACTCAATTCACAGATCTTTGAAAACTCTTTTTTTGATTCCATTCAACTCAACTCATGAGTTAGGAAGTTTTTCTTTCAATTTGACTTAATTTGATTAGGATCATGAATTGAGTTTCCCAGTCATGAATAGAACGTATAGTAATATGTAAATATATACGATAAAAAAATCATTTAACCTTTAAGAAGCTCATCTAACGACTGCAAGTTCGGTGAAAGTAACATATATGAAGATTGTTTTTTTTTAGATCTCGAACAATTTTGAGTTTGTTTTTGTATTTTTCGAATATCTGAACCTGAACAAATATGAAAAATATTTATCTTAACTATTATCTAAAATTACCTATACTGAATTGACGTCATTATTAAAAATATGTGTTATTGGAAAATATGTTAGAATATATTTATCAATTTTTTTGTTAGAATGGGAACAATATTAGTTGCGTACGCTGCTCATTGCGAGTCATTTTATCATTGTGTTCTTAAATAAGTTTAGATGTGATTTTTTACACGATTAAGATAAAAATATAATGAAAAAGAATGAATAAATAAAGTTGAGAAAGTTATTTAAATATTTTTACTAATAATGTACCCTCTTAACAAGAACTTAGGTGAGTACAATACTTGGTAACTTGCACGTGAATACAACAACAATAACGAAGTGCTGATATTTTCTAATGAAGAAAAGCAAACATCTACTTCGAAAGAACACGAAATGTCAAAATTCTATTGTCAAAATGCAACAAAAAAAAGCAGAAAGCTTTTTCTGATCGCTAATTATTTCTTAACATTTGTTGTAAAGTTACAACCAGAAAATGCTGCATTTGGATAAATAATATTTTAAAACGCATTCTCTTCTAAGTGTATATTTTTCGTCTGATTCTACTAGTTTTAATAATCTTCGTTAGATACTTGTTGAATCGATATATTTCATATCAGTTCATTTTTTCCCGTTGATTAAAGCCATCAAATAGATTAAATTTCAAGAATAGAATCAAATGATTATAACTCGTACTGGAATTATTTTCAACGATTAGCTATTGGCCTGTTGCTTTACATTGTGCTGCTGTAATTTATCGTGATGTGAAAAAATAAAAGTTGGAGTTTCTTCTATCTTATAATTAAGTATAGTACATTATTTTCCATGAGTAAAATAAAAAAAAGTGATCCATTATTTAATTAGAAACATTTTCAGGCATAGTTTGAACATTTAACATAAAATGAAATACTTATTTCTAGTGCATCAAGTTAAATCATCCTTCATTCAAGAGCATGAGATATCTGCGAACTTTTCACAGTAATTATTGACATGTGAACATCTTAACTGAAGACGTGGATCGAACAGACATGAAATGTGAATTTTATTTAGTATATAATACTACTCTTAGTGCCTGAAATAACTTAAGTCTCTTTCTAGATGCTATAAATTTTAGCATAATCAGAGATGTCATAGTGGCATCTACTAATTTAAAGTATTTCTAATTATCTTTGTGGTAGTCGAACTCGTTTTGTTTCGAACTTAATTTGATGAGTTGTGTATAATTGGCAAAAAAGCGCATTTTCGTACACTGTATTGAATTCTAATAAATCTACAAAATATTCTAATCGTTTCGTAAGGTATACTTCTGATTTAAGAAAGAAAGATATATGTAGGTAACGAAAGGGTTAAAAATAAAAACTCAAGCTATTACGTTCTTAACCAGTAGAGAAGAGTGGTTGCTTTCACAAAAAATAAAAGTGATAAGTAAACGTTGCAGAATGTCTATAACAAATTTTTATGATAGTTTTGTAGACGTGAATCAGCAATGTGTAAGGATACTAAGAAAAATTATTAAAAAAACGAAGTCTCTAGAGAACATAAAAGTGTGGAAAAAGTAACGAAAAAAATATCGGAAAAATTCTAGCGAAAATAAAGGAGGAGACAGGAATGCGACAAGTTGCACGGATACTGAGTGCTGAGTGAATCTAAACTATGCACGATATTCAAATAATCGTAGACATTTGTAGATTCCAAAGATTCTAAGGAAGTTCAAAAATCAGGCAGTTTTAGGATTTAAAATATTTCAAGAAATTCAACTCAACGTAGGAACACATGTACTTCGGAGAATATGAGTGTGGATGTGGGTATGGTTTGACGTGCGGATGGTGTGTCTTTGTGGATGTGGGTAAAAGTGTCGGGTGGTTTGGATGGATGCGATAGAAGAGAAGTCTAATACGCACTCCACACTCACATCTAACACATCCACATCCATATCCAAAAAAATAGGCTTTTTCTTTCAAGAAAAATTGTTTCTCTATTACTTTACTAACGTCCATGGTCATATTATTCACAGGTGGTATGATGATATCTATTTGCAAAATCAATCTCATTTTAATCTTCTTTCTGGAACTAAGCGTATCAAATTTCCATGGCACGAAACGTGTAAAGAGTGCAAATAACCAAAAGTTCCTCCCGTAATATAAGCTCCTTTCATATTAGAAGCCCCTTTTTAGAGATCTCTCCAGTGAAATTATTAGTTTGTCCCAGCAAAGTTCGGCCAAAGTTTGTAGAATCAATTAGAAGCTTCACTAGGAGGAGCTTTTCGTCAATCGAATATTCTCGGGTGACAGAATCTCTCTTCTGTAAACTCATACATTACAGGTCACTCGCGAGCGGATAAACAAAAACTCATCTTGATTATTTTTGTAATGATGTTGAAACTTGTTTCTCTTTCTGATTGTCTTTAAGCAAGAATGTTCAACTGCTGATTTTGTTATTGTTCATGCTGTCGATGTACATTATGTTTTCATCATTCTGGATGCACATAATCACTAGCATTAAATATGCTTGACTTTTTTTTTCACACTTGAAGCGCAACTTAAAGATTATATCATTTTTTTGCTTTTGATATATAAAAGGTGTTTGAGAGCTGCTGTTTCATTCTTAAACCTTCAATATTTGGAATCTGGATATATTAATGCCTGTTATCAAGTTGGGTGTGGGTGGGTGTGGGTGTGGGTGGGGTGTGGGTGTGGGTGTGGGTGTGGGTGGGTGGGTG